TCTTGTTCTACCCTAATCGATATGTTCTTATACTATCACGCCATGTAGCCAGTTCCATGACCTCTCGAGATAGAGGCCCATAGCCAGAGATATCATTTAGCGCGACGCGTACATGTATTTGTTCAGCAAAGGGGATCCGATTACCTCATAATTTGCATTACTACACCGAGGGCACTATAGTTTGGCTATTAAAAATAATTTTTGGTAAGTGTTTTACAGCACTCACAACTGCGTAAGTTCATATCAGCGCGCGGGACACATTAAACATTTTCAGTCGGTAGGAAATTTTGAAATTTTCCCAGGTGGCGGCCGAAGCTTACACTTATCGATTTTAGACCACCAAAGAATCTTTGACATGTGTAACTTGCACACGGGACCCCCCGGGATTTTTCTCCCTTGTCCGAGAAGGCTAGGTGTAGATCTTTCCTACCAGAAGATCAGGGATGTGGCTGAAAGACAGCAGTAAGAAGGAGCCAAGTAGTAGCAGTAGAAAGGCTGCAGAAAGAGTCAGGAGCCCAGAGGAGGGGGCGAAGAGGGTGAGAGGGTGGGGAGCAGAAAGTGGAAATGAAAGCAGAGGACAGAACATTGATAGAGAGCAGAAAAGGAGGTGAAAGAAAAAAGAAAATTGTTCGAACCCGGGAGCCCCCGGCTATTGTTTAAGAGCCTGGTATTGACACCCTTCAATCAAGCAGTGCTCAAAGAGACACCCATTTGCTTTACATGGCACGAAGTTTGTACTGTGTGTAGTCAGTATTGTGTGTTGTAGCCATTATAAGTATTTTATTTACATTGTTTTCTAAATCTCTGTGCCGTTCTTAATGGATTGTTTTCACATGTATGACCTAGAGTATTTTATTCACAATTCTGTAGGTGGTTATTTTCTTGCACTATATTAGTGATTTGATTCATTGTGGGATTGAGCAGCTGCTGGAATTGTCCCCGACGTTCTCCTTTTTTTTCGCAAAACGGTGAGGAGCTAGGCTAGCTACAGATCTAGAACTTGTTTAAAAAGTGGTGACAACAGACAATATAATTTTGCATGAGCAAAATTTGTCATATCAAATTGATCCTGTTATCTTATACAGCAATGCAGGGAGTCTCCCAGGACTTAAATAAAGTGTACTTAAGACTTTTGCATACATTCTATGTGCATGTAACTGCCTGTTTTCATATTGTTCATATTTGTGGAATGTGCTCACAAAGGCTGCAAAGCCTTGCCTCCTCAACATAATACAAAATTTATTCTTTATTTTTACACTTAATTATACCCTTATGAAATAAATAGCAACTTAGTTACTGCAATGTCTTCTTTTGTATTACATCCTTACTCTGTTCGTCACCCTTTTATTACAAGTTCCTTAGGTATGATTCAAGTATTGGTTTGTTATGTCAGTAAAAGTAGATCTTGTAAAATCTTCACTGCCCTTTTAGAATTATTTGTTGAGAAAGAAACAGGGTACCATAATTTTGGACACTAGTTTTTAAGCAAGCACACGACGTGGGACTCTCACTTCTGCAATGTGCATTGTCTGCTGTATTGGGCTTCTATCTCAAAATGACCTACTTCGGGTGACATGGCTTGAAGTTCTGAGCATCTAGACCCTAATCTAAAGTGTCCTTAAAAAATCTACCAGTTCTAAATTAAGGGGTAAGTGTGTGGAGGAAGGGTGACAGAGAGGGTTGAGGGGGGGGGGGGGTAATCTAAAGTGTCTTATTTTCACCCACCCTCAACCAAAATGCATAGATATCTATGTACATGAATATGGCATTAATTAACAGAATTGCACCTAGTTGAAACCCAATATGACAAAATATTCACTGAGTATATTGCTACATTTCATTGGTCATTTTTTCTCAAGATCAGCGACATTTCTTCCTCAACAGGTTTATACAGTACGAGTATTACAAAAAAGCTGACCAAGCATGTTGCACACCAACCACCTAGATTCTATGCATATTATTTACACAAGAAGGTACAATTGTAAAAAGAATGACACAGCTTTTTTACTCTCTGTTGAAAAATTATACTTTCTGGGCTAAGTACATTTGAACAGCTCGATGACAATATGTGCCCCTGAAAACAAGAGTGATTTAACTCCACTTTCATCAATTCACTTAAAAAACGGGATTTTTTAAATTTTCAGATGCACTAGAACAATGACTATGAATTAAATTCCGGTCCAAACTACTTGAAACTCTTTCAAAATAACCATCATAACAAGTGTGGGCCTTTATTTGACTAAGAGATGTGACATAGTTCTATTACACACAAGTGCTTAGTCAATTTTGACTAAAAGTGGAGATACACCACTCTTAATCTTATTGTTATGTGCACCTATTATTAAGGTCAGTAACAAACACCCTCACCTTGCACTGTGGGTCTTGAGCCAGGGCCTGTCTGCCTCCCATGGTGATCACACTACCCTTCTCGTCCACCAGGACCAGCATAGGAATTCCTGAACAGATGTTGGCAAAAATAATAATAATAAAAACCAAACCAAACCAAATAAAAAACAACAACATTACAAAACATAACATAATAATACGTGGACGGCAGATATCGTAATCACGTCAAGTTTTGCGACATTCAGCGATGACAGAACACGGAAAATAACCCTGGGTCAACAAAATGCCGGTAAAATAAATTTCATGGTTATCCCCCTTGCGTCACAAAGGATGATGTGTTGTGTGGGCTTTTCTCGCAGTTATAAAGTTATAACTTTAAAAAAGCAAACAAACCAAAACAACATTATTATTTACTGAGCTTTGCCTATCAAAGGAAATTGTTCATCCCCACCCCCCTTTCCTAACTCAACCCTGTGATAAAAATATTATATGTTTAGCTATCCATGAGAAAACTTAAATAGTTTTGGGGTTCTAAAAGCACGTTTCTAAGTCTTGCTTTCATAAATCTACTCTCAATAGGCCTATATGTTTGTTTGTGTGTTTGTGTGTTTGTGTGTGTGTGTGTGTGTGCGCGCGCGCGCGCGCGTGTGTGTGTGTGTGTGTGTGTGTGTGTGTGTGTG